TCATTACCACTGTGTAACATGCAACCTCAAACTTAATGGCTTAGAGTACAGATGTTTAGCTTAGAAATTGGTGATTTGGACAGAGCTGAAGCCATTCAATTTTTTAAATTTCTATTTTCATAGAGTATAATTTAAAGGTATTTAGTATCTCTCCTCTATCTGAACCTCCCTTATTGCCTCCATCCAACTGAATGCACTCTAATTATATATCTATAAAATAAGGCCTACAGAGTCTCACATGTGTCTCCAAATATCCTTCAGTGTGGATACATCCACTGGAGTCTGGTTAAACTGTCCTTGAAAGACTGTCTCTGACCCTCCCAGCAATCATCAGTTGTGACTGTTTCCTTAGGGTGGGTTGGGGTTCCTTACCCACTTCATGTCTTTGCTGGGATTTTGTCTAGTTTGAGCTTGCATGGGACTTGTGCATGCTCTTACCATTGTTGTGAGTTCATATGAGTAACTGAAAAGCTGTCTGGGAGACTGTTTCCTCGTGGTCATCCACCCCTTCTGGCTCTTACAATCTTTCCACCTCATCTTCTGCAATGATCCCTGAGCCTTGGAAGGATAAGTTTGATAGAGGTGTTCTATTCAGGGATGAGTGCTCTGCCGTTTCTTGCTCTCTGCATTGGAAGCTGTTCAAATAGAACTGGAGTATCCATTTCCAATGGGGCTCATTCACGTGACTAATGAGTTCGTGCTGGGTGATTCCTGGGATAGTAGGATGGAGCCACAAGAACCTCAGTTGTCTAGTGGAGTTCTCTGTGAACTTTTCCCACTTCCTTACAGCATGGTGGTGAAATTTCCATAATGAAAATGAATCTTGGAGCTTAAATGTAGAGACTGATGGTTTGTAAGGTCAGGGTTCACTGTATTCTATAGTCCAAGCAACCATAAAGCCCAATATCATGGGGGAGGAGGAGCTCCTAAGGTCTCAGTGGGAAGTGTGAGTCAAAGAATTTTGGAGAAATATTTGAAAACTCCTACAGATAGACAACTAAAGATGAAAACAACAGGCAGAAGAATGCTGTCTAAGGAGAACAAGCTTGAGTCGGGTAGCTTGTTAGTAAGAAGAATGTTCTCACTTAATTATCCAATTATTTTCTTTAGGTGTTATCTTGACTGAGGTGGAGCCTACATTTAGTATTTCCTCTAATCCTCAGTAGGAGAATTTTAAGATTTTTCTATGGCTTTCTTTTTATTATTAAAAAATGGTCTTTTTGAGACAGGGTCTCCCTGTAGCCCCAACTGTCCTGGAACTCACTATGTAGACCAGGCTGGCCTTGAACTCACAGAGCTCTGCTTGCCTCTGCCTCCCTAGTGCTGGGATTAAAGGTGTGTGCCATCACACCTGGCATCATTATTTTTTTTTACACTATAAATTAATTATTGAGTATTTTAGGATAGGCTTCACAAATTAATAATTATAAACTGAATGTGATAGTCTCTATGAGGTATTTTGCAGATACCAAGCATATTGTTTTTGTAATCCTACCTAGTTGATAAAAATTTTATTGACATGTCTCCTGACCAATTTCCTCTGAAATGCCCAGGATTTCCCCTGGTGGTTGCTGCTGTCTTCATCTTAAGCTTCAACAGAGAACCTCCAGGACTAAGTCTCAGATCCAATAGCTGGGTCCTCAGAAGGAACTTGCTGGTTAATTGATAGGGGTTCTGGATGTCTGGGGCTGATGAAAGGGATTCCTCCCTGGGTACAATGGGAAGAGCTTCTATTCACTCAGCAGTAAACACCCTGCTTTGTTTCTGAGCCCACTTTAAGAAGCACTGATTCATAGGGAGCTGAACTTGTGATTTTAGAGTTGTCAAACTTATGTCTTCTACTTCCCTCCAAAATACCTTCCCCATGAAGGCTGACTTCATGACTTCAAACTTACAAAGTTCTGCTTGCCCCTGCCTCCTGAGTGCTGGGATTAAAGTGTTTGTCACCATGCCTGGTCTAAAAGATCAATTCTTGGTTGAGGAGATAACTCAGTTGGTAAAGTGCTTGCCTTGCAAAGTTTAATCTCCAGAACTCACATAAAAAGCCAGGTGAGGTGGAACACACTTATAATTCCAGTGCTTAGGAAGCAGAAGAGAGGTGGATCTTAGGGACTTGTTGGCCAACCAGCCTACTCTACTTGGTGAGTTCTAGGCTAATGAAAGACCTTTTGTTTTTCTCAAGCAAAACAACAAAAATCACATACACACAAACACACACACACACACACACAACCAAACAACAACAAAACCGCCTTGAAGTTGTCCTCTGACCTCCACATGAAAACAGATATATGCAGATTCATCCACATCCACAAAGACACCTGCACATACATGAATATTCATGCATACACACATAGATTCTTTAATAAATAAAGCTATATTGACTAGTCAATGTGATGTTTTCAAAATAAGTCTTTTTTATATTTAAGATCATCCAGGTTATTTGAATTTTGTTGATTTGGAACATTTTGACCCTATGGAGAGAGGAAATATAGATCGAGAAGCCAGTGAATATTGCCTCTGTCTGTACTAGCATTTTTTATGACTAGTGGATAAAATCTTAAAATGTACACTAAGCTTAATGGACCTCTGGCTCCTATTAACCTTATAGCTTGGAATGGGTTGGAACCTGAATTTTATAGGAAATTTCCCTACCTTACTGAAGGCAACATCTAAATCTTGTGGAGGACTTCCCTACCTCTTTTTACTCGTCTATTTAGATGACATACTTTATGTTGTGACGATAATAAAAAGCTTATAATGTCTCTTCACAGACAACCATATCCTTTGGGGAACCATGTTTCTGGTTTCTTGAGTTTGAATCTCCAGGGGAAGAGCTTCACTTGTGTTTTGGCTTATGAGAAACTATTTCTTATTTCAAAAGTTTTTTTTTTATATGTTGACAATTTTATGATGCCACTGTAGGACACTAGAGATCTTACATGGACACTAGGTGCTTAGAGAAATTGTTAAATTACTATAAATTGATACTTAATAGTAAATGTAAAATTATGGAACAGTGGAAAAGAATGGGGAAGTCTGATGAAAAAATTCTATAGGCTGGAGAGATTGCTTAGCAGCTGAGAGCACTGGCTACTCTTGAAGATGACCTGGATTTGGTTCCCAGCACCCACAACCATCCTTGACTCCAGTTCTAAGAGATCTGATGCCCTCTTCTGACCTCTACAGGTATTGCATGACACAGGTGTACTTACATGCAGGCAAAACACTCATACATAAAATAAAAATAAATAAAAAAGATTCTAATATTTGCATTCATGCAAAAAATAAAATATGCATTCTTGGCATTTTTAAAATTGAAACTGGAAACTATAAAATGATGGCTTAGAGCCAGGTGTAGTGGCACACGCCTTTAATCCCAGCACACTGTAGGCAGAGGCAGGCTGATCATCATAAGAACCAGGCAAGCCTTCTCTACATAGTGAGTTCCAGGCCAACTAGGGCTACAGGAGACCCTTTCTCAAAAAGACTCCCCCCTCCCAGCCAAATGGTGGCTTAGGGTTAGGGATGTAGCTCAGTGGTAGAGTGCTTGCATGTGTAAAGCCTTACATTTGATCCATAGCACCACAAAAAGAAAATATTGATAGATTTAGATACACTAAAAAAGAAAAAAAAAAAAACCCAGACCTTTGGTACTGATCAAAATTCTAAAAATTAGGGCAAGAATATAGTTTTACAAGCATTTCAATGTTTATGTCATGTGAACATATAGTATTCTAATTATAGACAACTTTCATTTCCATAATGAGGAACTATTCAAATCCACAGCAGTCACAGACTGAGGGGGTACAACCACAGCCAGCATTAGCAATGGTGGCAGCAGTAATACCCATCATAATAAATACACTCACTGAACTTTTCCCTTGGAGCAGGCTTTATTTTCAGCTCAGTTTTCCCAATACACTTTTGAGAATGTACAAATGGACTGAGTATCTATGTCCTCAGAATTCATATGCTGCCATCCTAACATCAGAAAGTGGGGCTTTGTGAGGAGCTTGGTCATGAGAAGATCTCATAAAGAGGAAATACCCCAGAGAGATGTCCTTGTCTCTTTGGTCTTAAGGGGTTATAATTGAACAGTTGGCAGTCAGTGAAGAAGTTAGACACAGATCTGCCAGTGACTTGACTTTAGACTGTCCAGACCTATGAGAAATAAATTTTGGTGTCAGAATGGGACTTTATGGGTTAGCAAAAGATAAAAAAACAAAAAACAAAACTCTGACAGAGTAACTAAAACATTTCTTTTGTGACTGTGATTTTTCTCAGGATTGAATCCGTTTATAAAAAGCTGTTTTTCATTAGTAATTTGTGATGAAAACACACACACACACACACACACACACACACACACACACACACACACACACCTCTCACGCCTGATCTCGCGTCCCCCAGGAATATTATAGTGATTAGGTGAAAATTAATCAAAGAACTTCAGAGAGCTGTAGACTGTTCTGTCTATATCAAAGGCTAGATTCACCAGGCCTAGCAATGCTTTACAACATTGTCTGACATCCTAGTGCCTGTTGGATTTTCGTGTACCTGGGCAGGAGGAAACTTTTAGGCCACTCCCTCGAGGGCTCAGGGCGTGCCCAGAGATGGTGTGGGAACCGAGAATTGAGCACAGGCAAGCGGAGGAGACCGAGCTAGTGGAGCGTGGGTGCAGAGCGCCTCGGGATCGAGTGGCCTCTGGGCTCCAGGGCTGCGGGACTGAGTGACACGGGAAGGACGTGCAGTCAACCGGGCCGCCCCCTCCCCGCTGCGGCACGCCAGTGGTCCTTGGTGGAAGGCAAGGACCACCCCGGAGCCGAGGTGTTACAGAGCTCGGGTTCCCAGGCTGTCTGTGCGCTAACCGCCAGACCGGGAGAATCCTTCAGTGGCCCTGCGCTCCAGCCGCCCCAGCTGCGCCTCCCTCCCCGCCACAAGTTTGCCTCGCACTGGCCAAGTTGGCGAGTCAGGAAGACAGACCCTGCTAGTGCCTCCGGCTGTTCTGGCATGACTGGGCTGGAGACGTCACCCTACGTCCGCGGGTGGCTGATTCTCGGCAGCTGTCTCCTGGTCCGAGCACAGGTAAGAGCCGGTGCCCTGCACCTGCTTCCCGAACCCGAGGTAGCAAGTCCAGGGATGCGCGCGGGACTCTAGCCAGCATCCGAACACATCACACCCACGCCTCCCGCAGACACTCGGTGGAGCTCCCAGACCGCTTTAGGCCGGAGACATCCTAAGGTCCAGGGGTTTCAACCAGCATCCTGACATCTGCAAACTGAGGGGACGGTCTTTGAACGGTGGCGTCTGGGATTAGGAATGCACCGCTGGAATGTGAAGGAACTTTTTTCTTCCGCTTATACTGGAGTACTCGCTTTGATCATCCCAGTGATTTTTGTCTGCTGGTAATTCACCATCGG